GTACCGTTACGATTTTTAATCGTGCAGGAAATCCACTCACGATACAGACTTAAAATAAAAATCTGAATATAGACCTTTCCGCCCCGCCCCGCCCGCATATTTTTTTTTCCTTTGCAGTACACATAAGCAATATAGATTTTTTTTTTAGCCAATCAGAACATGAGAAGCCCAAGATGACGTCAGACATACTCATGAAAATTAAGAGCAGAAAGGAGAAAAGAAACCTGTCGCATGTTATACGCTTGTAATATAATATGATGGGTAATTAAGAGAGCACTGGGTTACAGCTGTCTCTTATACACATCTAGATGTGTATAAGAGACAGATCGATTATAACGAATGAGCTGAATTTGAGTCTTCTTTTTAGCATCTCTCATCTGACCTGACCTCAGTCTGTTGTCAACATAGAGATATAATAAGAATAATAATAATAGCTCTATGGTTGTCAACTAGTATGAAATGCGCGCAAAGGCTTTTCCATTTTGTTTCCTTTTTTTTGTTTGTAGCGTTTCATTTTCTTGTTTGCAGCGTTTTCTTTTATTTGCTGGTGTTTTAATTTTTTTTGCTTGCAGCATTTCTTTATTTGTTTGCTAGTGTTTTTATTTTTTTGTTTGCAGCGTTTCTTTTATGTTTGCAGCATTTTTTTTTTTTTTTTGCAGCGTTTCATTTTTTGTTTGCTGGTGTTTCCTATTTTTGTTTGCATCGTTTCCATTTTTGTTTGCATCGTTTCTATTTTTGTTTTCATCGTTTCTATTTTTGTTTGCAGCGTTTCCTTTTTGTTTGCAGCGTTTCTTTTCTGTTTCCATGATTTCTTTTTTGTTTGCAGCGTTTCTTTTTTGTTTGCAGCATTTCTTTTTGTTTGCAGTGTGTCCCTTGTGGGCCATCGTACTAACCACTTACAAAGGTCGATTGCTTTCGGCTCAATCGAAATAAACAACACGCCACGGCTCACCACGATCAACGATACAAAATTTAAGGCTATAAAGGAAAGTATTTATCGTTGGCGGCGCTATATACTGTCTAGTCTACAAGTACCAGGCGGTTTCATCTAACCTAAAGCATTCCTGAAAAGACACGTGTTGTCCCAGACGCACGCGTTTGCGCACATTACGTTGACATATTTGTGGGGCCTTAGCAACAATAGCGATGGGATACTGAAGACCACCACCGAAAAAAAAAAACAAAAAAAAAACACGGTCTCAAAAGTGGTCTATATTGGAGACCTGTAAAATCAAATTCAAAAAAAAAGAAAACAAGCACAATTCGGAATACTGTAGACCAAACCCAGTACCGTTACGATTTTTAATCGTGCAGGAAATCCACTCACGATACAGACTTAAAATAAAAATCTGAATATAGACCTTTCCGCCCCGCCCCGCCCGCATATTTTTTTTTCCTTTGCAGTACACATAAGCAATATAGATTTTTTTTTTAGCCAATCAGAACATGGGAAGCCCAAGATGACGTCAGACATACTCATGAAAATTAAGAGCAGAAAGGAGAAAAGAAACCTGTCGCATGTTATACGCTTGTAATATAATATGATGGGTAATTAAGAGAGCACTGGGTTACAGTTTATCAGGTGGGTTAAGAGCACTGGCTTACAATTATACAGTAGTGTGGGTATTAAAAGCAACGAGTTGCTGGCTATAGGGTGGGGTTTTTTTACCTTGTTTAGCGAACCTGCTGAACACAAATATTGACGATTCCAAATAAAAATAACATTTTATTTTTTTGCCGATTAGCAAACCCGCCTCCACAAAAAATGGAAATTTTTTTTTTTTTTTTTTTTTTCAATTTTAATTACGCCCTCCGCTGCCTTGAAATCTCCAAAGACAAATTATGTATACTTCTTCCTAATTATATAAATTTAAAGCATTGAACTATCCCATTTTATATTCACCAATAAATTTTTATTTTCTCCTCCATCTGGATGTTTTTGGCAAAACTACTTGCCAAATAATTTAATTATATATTTATTCCACCCTCCTCCAATGATCTTAAAAATAAAATAAGTACTGTACGCGAATCAAGGAATAAAAGAAGTTTCGCCTTACTATAGACTGTTAACAGAAAGTTGTTATACGCTATGTACTCCGTTATCAACTATTATATTTTTGGCCCAATTATTATAGGCTTGATCTATTACTGTACGTACTACTGTATATGCATTGGTATGTAGGCCTAGTACTTAAGTACAGTAGCAGTATGAATGAATTTTGTTGCAAAGTTCTCTTTAGAGTAGAAAAGATGTAAACGAATATTTCATTTACGCAAGTGCCTATTAACTGATAATGCAAAAATGAGGTTTTGCCTTTTTGTTGTGAAAAATGGAAGTTGACCCAAAATTCCTTACATTGGAAAGCAGCAAGCAACTTCTCCACCATGCCTGAAAGCATGAGACGGTACTACTACGGTACAACAACAGGATCATAAAGTACACACGTCATTTTCTTTCAGTTACTTTATTTGACTGTAGTTTTTGACATCAACATACAGTATTATTGAAATAATCAACTTTGTTGATTTAAAACAGAGAATGAGACTACTGTAACAATAGGAGCATGTGAAGTACACAAAAATGTTATTTTCTTTCATTTACTGTATATTATTTAACTATCAGTAGTTTTTGACATCAATGTTTTAATAATTAACTTTGTTGCTTTTAAACAGCACAGATGATCAAGATACTTGTTCAGCCAATTGTAGGTATCTAGGCTGTGGCTTCCTTCAGTTTGTCCTTCTTGAGAGGGCCCTGTATAAAGAAGAATAAAGACCATCATGTCTTAAAGTTTTCAATTGGTCTTAAAGTTTTCAATTGGTTTTTAATTTTTTGTGACCTGGAAATGTAAAATGTACCAAAAGGTAAGTTAAGTGTTACAAAAAGGATAAAGTCTCGCGTCAACTTACCATGAATGTCTGCTTCTCGGTATGGGTCTGGAAGCGTCCATGACCAAATTTGGAAGTTGTATCAATGAACTTCAGTGTGATTTTCTCAAGAGCAGCACGCTTGGTATGCACAAGGAGAGACTGAAAATGAAAACAAACACACTTAGACTTAGACCATTATAATAAAAATAGAGTAGTATTAAGCACTAACATTTACAATAAATGGGGTATGTTCACACGAAACCTGTACAAAATAAATATCAATTGTATTTGCAAGCTCTTTTTCAGAAGGAAGGCAGCATGGGTGTTCTCATCAATGATATCAGCAAGACACAGTCCATGTGTTTCATCACTTTGAACTTGAAATACATCCCGACAAATTGGAATGCAGTTGAACTTGCCTAAATCTAATCTAAAATGGCATTGACAAAATTTTTTGACTTTGATATAATTTTACTTATAAATCGTTGATTAATTGGCATGTAAATTAAGATTGACTTAGAAATTATTTGAGTTAGGCAAAGTCGACTTAGGAAGGTTTAACTGTATTACATTCTAGTTAAGCGCAATGGAGATGCTTTTCTGATGACAACACAATTAATGTTGAAATATTGAATCCCAACACGATGGTTTGCATTTCAATACTTGGGAGTATGTATTTTACTTTCTTATCTGAGATTAATCAGAGGACATTTTTCTGAAGATGCTCTCAGTGTTTCAGCTTAAATGATGAGGTTACTATAATGGTTTTCTGTGGAGATGTAGTCCAGTGACTGTCCATATAGGGGGTGTGATATTTGGGCATAATGTGAAACATGCAAGTGTAGATAGAAAATACAATTCTCCTAGCGATCAGACAAGACTGCTATAATACATAATACACCCATGATAGCTATATACAGGAGATAAATTGTTTTATAAACTTGCCTTTCTCAGAGTGAGAACACGCTTCTTTGGGCCCATCACACCTCCTTTCACCATCAAAAAGTCATTTGTCACTTCACCATAGTGAGGGAAGCCACCCTGTAAACAGAAAACATTAATCAATGTACATTTAACATGCATTTTCTGAAGGTGGTGACTATAAGTGAAGTATTTTAAGTCTGTACAGAACCCAGCAACAGCACTCACCATTGGGTTAATGGACTTCTCAGTGACATCACCTTGTGTGGTTCCGTTACCCTTGACCAGCTTGCCATCAGCCATGTGGTATCCTCTGCCAACACGGTACACTTTCTTGTTTATCTCTGTTCGATGGTGGTACCCCTTCTGACCAGCACGGGCAACTCCGTAGCCAACACGGGCTGGATGCCAAGCGCCGATACAGGCAACCTTGCGAAGACCCTTGTGCGTCTTGCGTGGCAGTTTCTTGGTTCCCCAACGTGATGTAACACCTGCACAAGATGAAAAATTAAACTCCATAAAATACAGCTGTAATATACAAGACAGTAAAAATTTCAAACGAGTTTGTGAGGTACTCTTTTCAGAAGGAAGGCAGCATGGATGATCTCATCAATGATGTCAGAGAAGACACATTCCATGTGTTTCATCATTTTAAGGCAACTCTAGAAGGACCAAACCAATTATAGCAATACAACACGAACATCAAGTCAAACTAAATGTAGAAGTCTTGTTGCATAACATGCCTAGAATGTCTTAGGAATTCCATACAAACTTACCCTTGAATCCCTTTCCTTTGGTCACACCAATGATGTCGATCATTTCATCCATTCCAAAGACCTCGGCAACGGGCACAGATTTTTCTAGCATTTCTCTGGCCCAATCCACTTTGGCAGCGATGTCACCTCCATTCACTTGGATCTCCATGATGTGAGCTTTCTTCTGCCTCTGGTTCATCAGCTTCATCTAAGGATCAAAGCAGGTGTTTAGTCATTTAAAATGAATTTCAAAAATTGTGCATTGAAGAAAAAATATATTTCTTTGTGTAATACAATGTCTTAATAACTGAAAAAAAAAAGTTAGAATTGGGACACTTATTTTTCACTGTGCCAAATATACATAACAAACAATTACCTGTGTGTGAGCAATAACTCGGATAACAGTACAATATTTCTTCATGATGTTGAAGTCCTTCTCAATTTCCTTCTTGCCAGCATCATCTTCCCACTTTTTGGAGGCCTTGGTAAATGCCTTCTTCTTGGCACAATACCTTTATAGAAAATGAGGGGGAAAAAAATCAGGGCGGGACATCAAGGGTTGAGCCTCATCAAGGTATAGTGAACCCATGAGAGGAGACTCAAGCAGGGCTCATCAAGGGAGTAGAAACCCTTGAGTGGAACCATTGGCAGGACATCTGTTGGTGACAACAGGAAGGACATATGATGCTCTCGTCAGTATATGAACTGAGAGGAAAGCAAAATGATTGGTTAATAAATGTATGCAAATACTGTAGAATGTCAACACAACATTTAATTCTTGACAATTCAATATCGTTACTGTTAACTAAAAATGCAGCTATTGCAATTGGGTTGCCTTACCAGTTCTTGTAAAAGCGTCTCTTGCAGTCGTTACTCAAATGCTGGGCCCAGATTGTCTTCAGAGATCGCATTCCACGTGGAGTTTGGATGTAGCCAATAACGCCAACAACAATCATTGGAGGTGTCTCAATAATGGTTACACCTTCTACCACCTCCTTTTTGTTCACCTCTGCAAAGATAATATTAATCTAAAGTAAATATTTTTGTTCTACTTACGAAAAAGAAACGATGATCACTGCGCAAAATATTCATGTTAACCTTTGACTCATTTATTTTTACCTATTCAAGTTGAATGAGAATCTAAAATTGTATTTTAATTAACATTCAAAAATGCGGTGAACTTACTTGATCCTGGCTTATCTACTTCTCTAACGATGTGAGACATGCCGGCCTTGTAGCCAACGAATGCGGTCAAGTGAATGGGTTTAGAAGGATCATCCTTAGGAAAAGCCTTCACCTTTCCTCGATGACGTCTGCTTCTCTTGCGCGGCAAGAAGCCAAGGGACCCGTGACGTGGTGCTGAGAATTTTCTATGCGACTGAGAATTAAATAAATAAATGATGTCAGTAGCCATACATGTTATTTCTTCTTTAAATTGTAGCGCTGAAACAGCTACTATTTGAAGTGGTACCAGAAAATTTCCCAGTCAGTCCCATAAATTACAAAATGGTTGAATGTGCAGGTCATTGACAAAAACCACAGCCAAATTTAATGTCGAGTGTGCCAACTTCTACCCAACTGAAAATGCATTCATGCAAATCGGCTGCTCACTCATGATGTAAGCATAGGCCTACTGCTGCAGGCCTAAAAATTAGGCTAGGATAAGGCCTGCCTAGGCTAGACCTGTAATTGTATTATAATTAATATATTTTATTCACATCAAAAGAGATTTCATTTTTATGTCATTGCATTCATTTTATCTCGGCCCGAGTCATAAGAAGCGAGTTTTTTTTTTTTGACAAAATAATGTTCTGAGTGAGGACGATCACACACCGAGTTCAACATGTGTGTAAAAGTTTAAGTGCTATATTTTCATATTTTTGATTAATTTTGAATAAATAATGTCACCAATGCAAAAAACAATGTATTCATGTGTCAATACATAGAAATTTACTCAAAGATGTCATAAAACAACACATAAAATAATTGATTTTCCAGCACACTAAAAGCACAACTCACCATTGTACCTCAGCTTATGGTAAAAGGACAGATTACGTTGCACAAGATCACGTCCTCGATCAAATGGAATGTCAAAATTTTAATTGTATTTTTACAATTACCTTAAATAATATAAATTTAAATAATTAGAATTTATATTACAAGTATACTGTAAATAATCTTATGAATATATAATTTTTATCAACATAAATTGTTATTTTTATATGTTTGTTAAAAAACGAACACGATGGGGCAGAAACCAAACTGTAGAGGGTGCTGTTGACAGGTGGAAAAGAGAAAAGATTGAGAAAATATTTTTGTAAGGAACTATAGGTCAAAATGGGTGTAATTGATGACTTTCTGTTATCTGCATTTTATTATACAGTTGATGCACCTGTCACATACGCAAGATGTAAGAACACAGTACTTTATAAGGCATTGTATAGAGTATGATTAGGCCTAGGCTTAGCCTAAGCGCCTTGTGTGTTATGTTGTGGTGTGGTGGTGGTAATGGGTCAGCCTTACTTGCAACACTCTCGTCTCGCGCAATCCAGGGCCTGGCTGGCCTAGGCTAGGGTCAAAAGTATAGAAGTGACTCGATAAAAGGCCTAGGCCTAGCTATCAAAGTGATTAAGGAGCTTTCGATTTGTGACGACTAAGCATCTCTAAAAATGCAGGCTAAAAATGTGGTCTTCTTTTGATGGCCAAAGCAAATGCCCTACTACTAGCTAGGCCTAGAAGTAGTAGGCCTAAAAAAAAGGCTAGGCCCTAACCTAGGGCCTAGCCTTTTTTTGGCATATGACCGGTTGAGCCGCCGACAAGTTGAGCCGCCGGTCATTTCTATGAAACGCCAATCGTGTCTCCCAGTGAATGTAGTGCGCTAATTGCAGAGTATTTTAATTAACTTATTCGTTATTTGTACTACGTATTTTGTTAAATTATTTAATTAAATTATTTATTATATATAAGTTTAACAAATAGTTAATAGTACAAAAATAAAAATTTATAAATTACAAAACCATAGTAATTACTGTATAATAACATAGGCATAACACATTTAAATTTATTGTTTATAGTCATCTGTCTATTTAAAATCAAATTGGTTTTACTAATTTTACTTACTACTGTTTTATTAATGCTCTATTAATTATTTTTGTTTTATCTTCCATGGTTAATTTGCTCAATCGTTGATTTGCTCGTATTGCCGTTCGTGATGTATAAGTTGTGTAATTGAAAATTAGAATTTTGATTATTTTATGTACTACATTTTTATAAAAATAAATGAAGTTGTATATTATTGCAAAATCGT